AAGCATTTGCCACGGCCCTCGCTCAGTAGGGTTCGAAACTATTCGCAATTTTCAGATGGTTTACCATCTCCCACGTCAAGTTCCTCCTCATGTGACTACTCCATGACATTATCATGCACCAATAACACAAAATTGGTATGAGAGTAAAATCATTTAAAAAATAGTGTATATTTATACTTATCTCAATGTAACCGATAAACGCTCTTCAGGTGGCACAGAATTTCTCCACTTAGTGTTTTGATATGCTATTTTCGGCCCTATTCTTTGAAGTAATTCATCAAAACTGTTCACACTCATCCTATAATATTGAAAAAATTTATGAGGATGATCTCTTAAGTCGTTATAAATTTTATAAAATTGGCCTTTCAGCAACCTTTGACTTATCAGTGGATGTACCCAGTATTGCTTTTTACGTCATGTTTTGGCTTTATTTCGTAATCTCAACGCAACCACACAAGAAGTTTGAGTAAAATCCATGATGGTACTAAATGTAGTTACGACTAATTCATCGCAAGTGCGCGCCCAAAAAATTGTAAATACATTTTTCGGCGATCACGATTTTTCAGTCGTGCGACAGAAAATCGCACGTGCGCGCCTGGTCTAACGTAGAAGCTAAACACTGTTTTTCAACTCGCATTTTTTAAACATTAAGGGTATTTGTCAACGATTGTCCATGTCATAAAAGCATTAATGACATGAATCACCTTTTATTAATACAATTATTCGATGCTATTACAATTTTTTGACAACCTATTCCGTACGTACGACCAAAGTCGGACAGAATTACCCTGTATAGAGCATAAAACAGTGCTACCTCTTCAAGTGAGGCACCTAAAAAAAAGCATCTCAGTTCATAAAAAAATCTCGGCATCTTCAGAAGTCCAAAGGTTTCTTAGCGAGTGCCCCTTCTATTGGTAACTTTGTATTCTTTGCCAGTAGATAGTTTGTGTAGTAGAGTTGGTCGTATGGGGTCAGCAAGAAGGGTCAAATGTGGCCTAATTTTCCTCCCCACCACTACTACTGTAATTCCCTGTGCAGACTCACGCGCGAAGCCGCGAACTACCCGCGACCCTTGAGTGGATCCCATTCGCGCGTTGTTCCCGTTTGTTGTCGGTTTTTTGTCCCGCGACAAAGGGTTCGCAATGCGCGAACATGACTAAGCTCCTCATTCGCTGGTCGCTCAGTTTCCTCATAGCGAGTGCCGGGAGTGTTTTTTCCACTTCTTTTGAATTGTTTTACTTATATACTTGTAATTATAAATAGCCAAAGCGCAAAGTAGCCCTGCAGCAGCAATAGCAATTTCACCATGCATACTCGTCAAGAGCGCGAACTATACTGTGAAGCAGGCGCGAACATTGCGAGTGTGGAACTGTAGGAACAGTTTTCGGGATTCGCACCGCGATTTCACGCCGTGAGTCTGGAGAGGGTATAAAACATGCTAGTTGAGCGAGTGTCTCTCTGCTGTCGGTACACTAGTAATGCAGCAAGGGTACGTAAGAACTTTTTGATGTTGGGAACGCAATTTTCAGTGACAGTAGGAATCGACCGCGGAATATTCTGCACTCGCTGCCATTTTGCCATGCACAGCCGATATTTATTCACAATTATTGAAGTTGGCGTATTATTTCCAAGAGCGGTTGGTACTCCATTGCGAGTTGCTTAACGGTTTCTAGATATCCGTATCGTGACGTACCTGTAATTGTAGGACGCCTTTATGGTCTCCTTGACCATCATAGTATTTTCTCTCCTACAATTGTAGGAACGACTGACGCTACGGAACTAATTGAAATAAAAACGCCCAACTTGAATAAATTTACGTGTCTCTGGGGACAGTCGCTCCTGAAGATCAGTGATTTATTGTCCAGCCAGATGGATGTACACAACCTTCCAAAAATACTCTCCCGGCAACTGGGCTTTCCATTAAATAGGCATTCTCCAATTTTGTCCATCAACAAGCACTTTGCTCAAGTTTGCTGACAGATGTGTTCTGTGATCAAGGTAGTCAATTGAAAATTCGGACGCGAATATAACAAAAAACCTTTTCGAGCGCTTCAACGCTGTGAGTAAAGGTTTTTTTTGGTATACTCCTGTCCGAATTTTCAACTACGTTGATCACAAGAGTCAATTTGCAATAATACACTAATGAAGATGCAGTGCTACAAAGCAGAAAAAACGCACAATCACTACAGTATATTCAGATAAGAGATAGACCGGACATAAACAAGACCACGTGATCATCGAACGCTGTAACATTCGGCAGGGACGTATTAAAAGTCACGCAGTACATATTTTAGATAGTAGATGCTGCTTTGCGTAACTTTGTAGTAAATTAGCACAATTCGATGTGTATACGATTGGTGATGGATATAGGATATGGGGTAAGAAATATATAATGATGTAAAATGGCGTTTAAATTAGCCTAAATTAAAAATAATCGTATATCTCTTAAAATTGCTTTTAGAATATTGCTTAGTATATTTTTTGATTTCTAGGTAAATATGTAACCAAATTAAAACGTTCAAAACGTAAAAAAATGTGCATGGTTGAACATTGTCAAAAAGTAGATTCTTGAATAGGTTTTGCCAAAATGGGTTCAAAAATGTCAATAATTAATTAAAAAATACAGTAGCTTTATAATTACTTATAACTTACCGAATTTGATGAACGACATCTTTTATTGGAAAGATGAGCTTGATGAGCTTTCATCATCGCTACTGCCTGATGCACCAACGTCAATAATGAATGGCTCGACTTGTTCCTCTAAAATATTGTCCAGTTCCCACATTCTCTTTTCAACTTTGTCTTTCACGTGCTTAATACAGTTCTCCCATTTTTGCGCTGTTATTAATTCTAGTGCTTCTTTGAAAAGTCCTTTGAGGTCACAAAATTTAAAAGTTGTATTGTGCTTAGCTATATAATTTTTAACCTCTGCCCATATGAGCTCAATGGGATTGAGCTCGCAATGGTATGGAGGTAAACGGAGCACAGTTTTATTTTGACTTGCTGCCATTTCGTCAATGGCGTATTTTTGATATTCCGCCTTGTGATCCTTGACAATTCTTAATAATTGTACTTTCAGCATTGCTTCTTCAAAGTTGATATTTTTCGAGCGGAGCCAATTTTGAACATCAACTTTCCTTGAAGCCGTTGTTGGGACCTTCTCCATTCTTCGAGAATGATAAGGCGCATTATCCAACACAATTACTGCGTTTTCCTCTAAGTTCGGTAAATTTTTTGAAAACCACTGTTCAAACGATTCGCCATTCATTTCCTCGTGGTAATCTCCAGTTTTCTTAGACTCAAAGCACCACAGACCGTCAACAACAAATCCATCCTCACTGCCAATATGGCAGATAATGAGCCTTTTCCCTTTACCTGGAAATCGAAGTACTAACTGGTGTAGATTTATTTCAATAAGCGAACCTTTTTTAAATGTTTTCATCACATTCAGCGAAAAAAACATTGAGACATGAGTATCAGATTGCTATAATTGGGATTATTTAGTCATATTGAAAGAAAGAATATTGAACGTCGTATGATTACTCAGCGCTTCACAATTTAATTTAAAGTTATAAACCTTTAAAAAATGAATGATCAGGAACCTGAAATACGCGCAAATATTAATATTAACAAATTATAACTCTATAAAGCTTAAAGTATGAATTAAAATGATTAGAAATATTAGGAACGGTACACAATATAAAACTTAGTAACTTTTTTTAAGTTTATAATATTCGACATATTTTAAGATTATATTAAAAAATTGAAATATCGAAAACACATAAAAACATGGCTTAAAAAAGTTCTGACAAATGAAAATGACAATAAAATATCCACGCATTTTATCGAAAGTTATAAAAGTTTTGTTACTTGTAATATGTTTTATCTGCCCCCTGGAATTAATGTTTAGAACCTTGTTCCCAAAGTTTGAAAAACATCCGATTGTTGTCTATTACTCGTATTTACCTGCTGGATTTTTTAATCCGGTGGACAGTCCATCTAGAAAGGCCCTCCTGGATGAAGTTACAGAATCATCAACCCATACTTTACTTGTAGTGTGTCCTGCGTTTACCCACGTTTCATCAAGGTAATAAATCTTCCTGTTTTGATTTCTATATTTCCCAATTTTTGTTAAATAATCCCTCCTCCATAGCACAATTTCTTCTCTACCCAGTAGTAAACTATTACGACCCCGTTTTTTCCTAAAGAAGAATTAATGCACTTTCTTCCTAATCGCATGCTTATCAGCTTCATCCAATGATTTAACAATACTTTTGCGATGTTTACTGGTCATTGGCTCAGAAAAGGTGTGATTTTTTTTTGTATTGTCTTAACACATTAAACACTGATGTGCGACACACCCCAACTTTGTGAGAAACCTTCACAACAATTTCTTTGATGGTTGATGCCTCGTTCTCCTCGCGCTCGATCTTATATATATTCAAAATGACCTCTTTCATTTCTGCACTCAGGTGTCTTTTTTTAGAGCGTTTCCTAGGTGGACTACAGGAGTTTACAACTTCATCGGTAGTATCTGTACTACTGGGCATTTTGCGCAAGCAGTTGATATCAATAACAAGGTATGACAATAACAACGACAAACTCAACAACTTAGTAAGATAACAAACGAAAACGTCCAAAGAAATATCAAATTGCAATGATGCACATGACATACGTAACACGTCTGAACTTGAATGTGACTCTGCCTTGATACGACTGCTCTGCCGCTCGGCATAGGCATTTAATTGCGAATTGACCAATGAGGGCTCCTGTTTTACGTCGAGACGGCGGCGTTAGCGTGAAAATCACCCGAACCTTTTGTTTACATCCGGTCTATCTCTTATCTGAATATACTGTATTAACATTTACATCAAGCTGAACCTTAAGGGTACCAGATTTAGGCAACGCTCAAACATTCATGTGCTTACAAATTGATCAGGTATGGCATGACCCCTCCTGGATCTGTGCTTGTCTAGCGCAAAGATATAGGATGATGGTTTATTTAACAGTTGGAAGCACAATTAATAAAACACCTTTTAAACTTATTAAATATATATTAATACAACATATATTTTACTCATTGTCATCCTCATCTTCATCCTCTTGGCTGTTGATCTGGAAATATCTAAGTTCATATGAATCTTTCCCAGCAGCCACTACTCTCAACCAATCTCTCAGGTTGTTCTTCTTCAGGTATTTCTTTGTAAGGTATTTCAAATACCTGAAACAAAAGAGTTAAAACAATTACTTAAAGGACAAAACATTTTTAATTGAATAACATTCCATTTTAGCATGAAAATATTGAATTGTCATTCAGTAAGAAGGAAAAGTTACTATAGTATGTAAAATACTCATTGAGCTCGAGAAAATTATATACATTGTATCAATCTACAAAGCAACAATCAAGATAATCGGAAAAAAATCCAAGAAATAGACTTACCTTTTCGAGAAAGGTATCTCGGAATTGAGGATTATTTTGGTACCCTTCTCCCTTCCTAATGTAACAGAATGTTGGGCTCCTTTACCACCAGCAAAGTTTCCTGTCTTTCCATTAATCTTGATCCTTGTCTTTAGGTATTGCTCCTGCAAAGATAATAATGTATTAGGGACTAATACTGAGCATTTTGAAGACAGTCAGTGCACTACAATTAGATACTTGTCTACCGTTTTTTCGTTTTCTAAAGTTTATTTTCCAATATTTTGAACTCGCAGTCGTTTTAATCGTAAGAGATTTCGAAAACAGATGAATACTATACTAATACTTTAAGAAAAAAGGTCCAGGGAATTAAATTTTTTCATAAACAAACTGGATTATGTGACCTACTTATTTGACAAAGTCATACAGTCATCAATAATGCAGCATTTAGCACATGCTACATACTAACTAGCCTAAGACAGTTTGAAACATAATTGTCTCTTCGGTTTGCATGCTTAGTTTATGAACAGTTCAGCCCATTTCAGAATGAAATATTTTCTTTTATAAACTTTAGGGCTCATCTGTGACTGTGTCAAAATTTCAGCTCTAAATATGTATACACAAGAGTATGAAGAAACCTTGAAAAGAAATTGTTTCCTTCGCCACAAAAGGTAATGGACACATCCACTTTAATGTGTATAATAATGTATGTTTTTTAAATATAGCGAATCTTTTCAATTACTTACAAATACAGAATGTTTGAATTTGTTTAGAAGAAAAAAACGTAACCCCTTGTTTTTCGCATAAAAACAACAATTATCTTTCAGAATTGTTCTTGATTTATGTCGGCAAGGTAAACTCGTGTATTTTGTTATAAAATGCCTTAGAACGAACCCTGTATATTGCTTAGTAAACTAGTAGTGATGGCTGAAAGATGAGTGTTTTGGGATAAACAAATAAAAATTCTCAAAGACTACTTGACCAATCTACTGCTGTGCATTTGAAGAATTTCAATTAGCTGCATGGAATTATCGCATTAGCAGCACGTGCTGCAACCTGCATTTTGCCTGGGTTTAGAGCTGTAACTTTTTTATTACTAGTCGGATATTTTTATGTGTGGTCTCATAAATACCTAACAATCTTATTCAAAGAGTTTTTTGGTTTCTGCCAACACTTTAGATTGACTCTCAAAAAACACGTATTCTCATTCTTTGTTGGCGAATAAGTTTTCCCACAAAAATTGGTGCACCCATTTTATAGGTGCATGTTTTAAATACCCCCTTGAACTTGCATCAACAAAACCAGACTACAATTATTTCAGGGAAATTTGCTAATATGATTAGACTATAAGGTTGACTTACATAATTATAATTTAGTTTTATGTTTGTTATTAAGAATCATTATATTCCTCAGACAATAGAGAATATTTATCTATCTCAGTTTAAAATAGCCTAACTCCCAAGACCATTCAAACGGGGCCCTAAGGTATCAAGTTAACAAGCATAAAACAATGAACACATGTAGCAGAACAATGTATTGTACTAACTATATAAAAAGTCAGCAAACATAGCGAGCACTGCATTTTATTTCCACAGTATGTAACGCCACTCTAACTAGTAATTTTTCGTCATGTGGAGCTGGGACTGTGGTAAACAACCAATACTAAAAATCAAATTAACTTACAAAGTTGGCCACATCCAAGATGCTGTCTTCACTAGGGTGTGTGCAATCGATGACAAATCTGAGCTGGACCTTCTTCTTCTTGAGACCCTTCCCTCTGATTTGGGGCTTCTTAGCCTGGGGCTTTGTGGCAGGAACGGCGGGCTTTGTCTGGAATCCACAACAAAATCATAGTTGTGTTTCCACCAGACTGACCCAGAAGCGGTCGTCGGCAAAACACAGCACATCTGCAGCGAGAAATTTATCAATTTCTGCTAGAAAGAGACTCAAATATGTGTGATTGCATATGGTGAGGTTATCTGGAAGAACCTGCGAATATCATGTCAATCTTCAGTATTTTTTTGACAAAATTGATTCCATACACAAAGTTAATAATTAGCTGTGTTCTTGTATGAATATTTTTTGTTCTTTTGGTAAAATTATCGTGATTTTTTGGAAATACTTACCGGAGCCATTACCCTCGAAACACGCTTCTACAGCAATCAAATATGAAAGGAATGTGGAGTGTGGAGTGTGGAGTGGGAGTGGAGTTGTGGTGTGGTGGAACACACGTAGACAGTGTTGCCAGTTCGATATTTATTTCATCAGTAAATGGGTTGCCAAAAATTCAGTAGATTTCAGTAGATATATATTTTAAGCAAATTTTAGGAAGGGGCGATAAAAAAGACCTATGAACTCGAAAAAATATGTATTTTTTTATAAATAAAGAGAATTTGTGTGCTTAACAAAATATAGGAATATGTACACAAAACAAAAATTTTAACTTATACCTAATTTTTAATTCAAAAAAAACTTATCACAAAATAAAGTTACTTAGGATATACTCATCAGATACAAGTACATAAAAAAACAGCAGTAAATAGTAAAAATAATAAACAACTCCAAAAATACAAAACAAGTAAAAAAATGAAACGTAAGAAACTAGAGGTACTTATATAAATAATAGAATTTATTCGGAATCTGAAGTATTGTACTTTTTTGGTTTATACATATCATTATTATGTAAATTTATTACTTCTTTTGTAAATGTAACGTTGGTACAATTTACTTTTCTAGACTTTAAATAATTGTTTGTGTGTAGATGTCCCACAATACTCGTAGTTGAAAGTTTATTTCTTTGATTAGTTTTCATTAGATTTACCGCAGAAAAAACTCTTTCTACATTTGCCGATGAATGTGGTAAAATTATCAAATTGAAAACAAATCTACTTAAAACAGGAAACATAGTAGTTCCGTCGCTGTAGCGCATACTTTCAATTTTTGACCAGAATGTCTCTACATCACAACTGAAATATAAATCCGTATTTCGAAGTAATCGCCATTCATTATTTACCAGTTGAAATTCATTCTTGTCCAAAATATTTTTTACGCCTATTAAATCCATATTAATTAAAATGGGGTCATTAAAGTCAAACCTTTGATTTATTTGGTTTGCGGTCTCTACATAAAACTCTAGGCATCTTTTCCTAAAAGTAGATTTGTCGGAGTCACCCAATGACTCAATTGAGACTCGAAGTTTGGCTCCTAAATACAATTTTTCTAAGGGAAGAAAATTATCAGGATCTTTGAAATCAATTTGATAAAGTGGGGACTGCATGAGTACTTCCCTTTTTATAAAACATTCTAAAAAAGATTTATACACAGTATAAATCTTGGATAGACGGTTTCCTGATTTGATCCTCCCTTAAAAACCACCATATCTGTTAATGTTCCCTGCTTTTTCTGAGATTTGCATAGTTTAATGTGCATCGCAATATCCTGATGCCGAACTAGTGCAAATCTGCCAGTATTTTTAATAGAAATATCTTTATTGCACACGCGGCACGTAGCAAAGTATTCATCTTTTCCCTGTTTGATCCACTTTTTAAATTGCTCCTCTTCTGTCCAGCTTTTCTTAAATACTTGATTATATTTTTTTTTCTTTAAGGGACCAGCCCCTTCATTTTCAGAGTTATGGTACTCACTTGAACTAAAAACATAATACATTACATCTTTAGAATTCAATATTAATTAATAAAAGTGAACTTACCTCATTTTTGTACGTGCGCTTATACGAAAGGATAAAAAAATAAAGTATTCAACAAAACCACTGGATACGAGATCAAACCGAATTGTGAAGGTGAAAACCCTGTCGTTCTCGCGCAGCGCTGGGAAATCCCGGTCCCCGTAGTCGTTTACGCATTAATAACCGTTGATTCCCCGTGGCCGTGGTCTGGTCCAGTGATGTAGGATGCCAGGTCGCATAAAACCACTGCTGTTATGGATTATGCCATGATTCGGAATATTATTACGGATGATTCATCCATGGAAGATTCATCCGAATATTCTATTCATCCGTTACTGTCTAACCGGCTAGCAAAATATTCCGAATATTTACATCAGTAGTCTGGGCTGTAAAGTATTACCAACATAATATCAAACGCTAAGACGCTTTCGAATTTATTTAGGGTCATCATTGATGACCGTATTTAAACTGATTCTTCGACAATATTACGCAAGGTGTAGGTTATGAATTAAAAATTAACAATAATAATAACATTAATAAGGCATCATAATTTTTTCAGTAGATTACAAAAATGTTTCAGTAGATCAGTAGATCAATATACAAATCAGTAGATCTACTGAAAATTCAGTAGAACTGACAACACTGCACGTAGAACAAAAAGGAGCAAGAGAGAACGAAAAATGACAGCGATCACCAGTGTTGCCAATCCAAAAAAAGACGAAATGCAGTAGATTCAAGGACAAAATCGGTAGAAGAAAACAAACAGGGCCGTCTCGTCTCGTCTTTGCGTCACGCTATGACAAAAACGGTAATTTGTGGACAAACACATATTTTTGTATTCCACGGGAACGTGCACAGAACATTTTTTTGAGGATCTTTTCCTAAAAGAAATGATAATTCCTTTATTACAATAAGCATACTGGTCTCTCTTCAAACTCCTTTGCAACCGTCCTGGAAACTCCTTTCCCCATTCTTGTTTATAAGATTCTGGATATTTTTCTGTTATATCCCTGAACTTGAAGTCTCATCACCTAACATTTTATTATTCAATTAGATACAGACGAGCTTTCCGTTTGCTTGTCCAGTGATGTGATAATGGCGGGTTGCACCACTTTTACGCAAAAAACAACACAGGGAAAACGGAGTAAGGGATGTGCGTACATAATTATAGGCAACCCAACTCCAAGTCCTTCTGTGCCCGACTACTTAAGTCTACGCACATCGATGATTGAGGTTATGGGGAGTAAAACTACATAGACTACATAGATCTATTTTTTCAGCTTCATTTTTGGTTCCAGCTCTTTTTTCGGAAAAAAAATTGGAAATATCTGGATTATCCCAAAAATCGTACAAAATGACGTTTTCGGTAAATATCTCATTTCGGTAAAAATAGCGAAAAATCGGTAGGTTCGTCAACACTAGCAGTCAATCGCAAAACGAATGTGGTAGATACACAATAAAAAAATCGATCTAGAGTTTTAATAATCCTATCAGCAATTTTTCCGCTTGTAACTTCTAACTTGTACCCACATTCGAGATATAGGAAGTATTAAATTACTACAAATACTTGAGCTTTTCAAGAGAAAGTATTTGTATCAAAAAGCGTAACCGGAAGTCGGAAGTTCGATCGAAATTTGTTGCGATCTTTTTTATACACAGTACCCATCTCTATCGTACATTTATGTTTTATGATTCTTGACCAGGGCTGCCAGGTATGGTGATTTTTCGCCAAGGTAGCGATTTAACGGCTTCAAACGGCGCCTAAAATGGATAATTTGGAGATTGACTACTTTCATCAGGTTGGCGATGTCTGGCGATTTTTTACATTTCTAACTCTACTTAATTTTAATCTAACAACACATTGATGAAACGAGTACCAACGGAAGTTTTATTATAATCTGTAGTTTTGTGTTCAAAGCACATTGGTGTTTATGGTCGAATGTCATTTGGTCATTTCAAGATGTCGTGGAGGGGAGTGAACTGGGGGAGAGTACCCTCCAGAAACATCATTGAAAAAAGGAAAATACGCATAAAATTCTTGTCACAAGGATAAGAAGCAGTAGAGAAGCCGTCGCCGGCATTTTCACGCTCTTCAATTTTTAATCAATCAATTCTCTAACCTGATATTTTATCGCTACCCTCAATAATTTCCCCTTCAAATGATTGTCTATTTCTGGCGATTTGCATATAAAACTTGGCCACTAAAGTGATTGAACACCTGGCAACCATGTTATCGACATTCTTTGACGTTTCCATGATTTTTCGCTGACAGGTCAGTCCAATTCGTGCTTACACTTTTCATCGTGATTTTCATTTGAATTTGTAAGACCCTTTTAAGCTTTTTAAACTAACTACAAGTATATGAGTCGATATTTTGGTGTGACTACGATCATCAGTATCGTCCGTAGGTGATCATCACAATTAAATATTTTTTTAATTAATCACAATGTCCAAACCAGCTGGATATGACTCTCATAGTGAGGGGCCAGGCTTTGTAGGGATCAGGTTTTGCCAGGAATGGTTTGTATAAACTCAAAAACTGATTATTTTTTACTAACATTATTTTTTGCAGCAACAACATGTTGTACCCCAAGGAAGACAAAGAAAATAAGATCCTACTGTATGCCTGCAGAAATTGTGACTACAAACAACATGCAGACTCAAAATGCATTTATGTCAACAAAATTATGCACGAAATTGAGTAAGTGATTTCCTTCTTAGATCCTCTTTTACATTTATTACATTAATAACATTGGCAGATACTTCTATGGCTTTAGATTTCCATTTCAATGTGTGCATGATATAAGATCATATTAAATGGTTCTGGTACTATAACAAAGCTCAAGGTTGGAACTATATTGGCAGGCTATCAAATGCCAACAGAGATCTTTACAGTACGAGCTAATAACTACTATACAGTAACACATCTGGTGAATTCTGGTAACACGAGGTTTGTTCAAAAAATATCGCGATTTTCATGTTTTTTTAAGAATTATTGAAAAAAAGTGATCGCCATCAGACATTTTGCACTTGTGATAACATTTTTTCCAATCCTCATAGCATTTTGAAAAATCATTTTTTGTGATCTGGTTCAGCTCCTCTTTCGATTCTGTCTTTATCTCCTCAATCGTGGCGTAGTGTCATCCTTTCATGGGCCTCTTCAGTTTCAGGAACAAGAAAAGGTCACAGGGGGCCAAGTTTGGGGAATACAGTGGGTGAGGCATTATTGGAGTGTTGTTTTTGCCCAAAAATTCACGCTCAAGTAACGATACATGAGCAGGGGCATTATCATGGTGCAAAGCCAATTTTTGTTCATCCACAAATCTGGGCGTTTCTGGCGGATTGCTTCCCGCAAATTGCGGGTAATATTCCCTATTGACCATTCAACCCTACGGCAAGAACTCATCAATGTTTTCGCCTGTTGTTGACGTGCTCGGCGTCCGGAACACTCACATCTCGGCCCTCTGACAACATTTTGTACCACCCATAAACGTTGCTTTTGTCCAAAGTAGCTTCGCTGTATGCAACAGTCAACATTTGGAAAATGTCCGCGCACAAGTTGTTTTTATACACAAAATTTAATACAAATCTTTGATCTATTTTTTGGAATAGACAAAAACTGGAGACAAGCTAAAACACGTCCACGCACAATAGCTGTGAAAAACTGACTGAACATTCAAAAGGGCCGATGTTGTTAACATTAGTGAGGGTCATGAGTACCAACATAACGCCACAAAAAGATCGAAAATCGAACATATGTAGCCAGCGAAAATTCAACCTCGTACATGGCGCTTTGCCTTATCTTATTTTGATAGATCTCATCCCTCAGATAGAGGATAATTGCTATGCTTTCATTTGTTATTCCCTAGATCAAGCTGATGAGTTACCAAAAAGTATGAAACTGCTATTCATGGTTGGCTATCTGTGGCCAGAGCTCCTATACACTTCAGTTGCCAGTTCTGGTACTAGAGGGTGCTTTCCATTGTCTTATTTTAATAACAGTATTTTATTGAGTATTCAACTTTTTTTACAGTGAATTGACCCATATTGTGCCTGATGTGATATCTGACCCTACTCTACCTAGGACTGAAGATCATCAGTGCCCTGAGTGCAATCATAGGTAAGAATGTCTTATACTTTCACTTTATTATTTGTGTTTCTTTTGAAGAATAATGGCACTTCTAAATGGGCAATATTTTTACTGAATTAGGGTAGCCAGCAACAGCAAGCTAGACATGTTTGATGTTTGCAGTATATTTTCATATATTTCTGTCAGATTGCCAAATGATTGAAATCAAAATGATTTTGTAGCCTGTCTGGTAACAAATTCTGACACTTCAGTGAAGTAACTGATATGTCTTACAAATATATATTACTGTAGATATGTTTCAATATTTTTCAAAAGCTTCTATGTTGTATAATGACAGAAAGCTAGCATGGCCAAAGTCCAAACATTCGTTTTCCTATTGTCATTCTACATTTAAAATTAATTTACAGAGAGGCAGTATTTTTCCAAGCTCAAACCAGAAGAGCTGAAGAGGAGATGAGATTGTATTATGTCTGTACAAATCCTCATTGTGCACATAGGTGGACCGAGTAATCTTCTATTTTTGAGGGTCTATTGTACTTCATAATATTCCATAAGTATTTTGTAAATTGTCTTATATAAGGATAGGAATTCAAAACTAGCACTAAGATTTTTTCATTCTTTATCATTTAATCCCTTGGACCCAGGACCAGTGTTGCCAGAGCGAAGTTTAAAATATCCGTCACACGTATCGCAAAATTCGGCTACATGCCGCTATGGTCTAAAAATTTAAGGGGGGGGGGCTTAAAATAAACAACAAATATATTTTTTACGTATTTACTTTTTTTTAAACACTGTCTAAAAACCCTACTAAAAATACAAACAGTAACATAATATAATTGCAATTTTTCGTAAAAACATAAAAAGTATACCTCTAAAAAAACAAAAATGTCTGGTTTAGAATTAGGAACTAATAAAAAAATAGAAACTATCACCAATATCTTAATCTTAATAGAAAAAAAAAAACAAAAAATAAGGACAAAGAAGAAGCGGAAACGTGGAAATGCCTACGTTTGCTTATTTTATTCACAGTCAGAATCAGAAATTACTTCTTCTTCAGCTTGTTCTTCCTTATTTACATTATATAAATTCTTTTTATATTTGTTTAAATGATTCTCATTAAAACTATAGGATAAACAGCACTGTTTTTTTGATTCCAAGTCTAATTTAATTGTAAGTAGTGCAGACAAAGTGGATGGTATTATTTTATTTATTTTTTTTGTTTTGTAATCAAGCATATAAGAAAAAGTACGCTCAACATCAGCGTTTCCATGAGGCAATGTTAAAATGATTAGAGCCAGTTTACCTATATTGCGAAATAAATATTCGTCATTAAAATTTTTGAGGTCGTTTACAAACGACCAAAATTCAATGACATTACTTTTTGTTTTTAAAATTTCCTCTTTCTCACTAGCACTAAAATAAATACATATTTTCTTTAGTTCCAAAATTGCCTTTTCGGTTTCAATATGAAGAGCAATTTTTTTTAAAACGGCGTTATGAAAGGTATCACCTATAATAAGACGATTGTTCATCACATCAACCGGTGAGAGAAACTTTAGCTCTGAAAAGGAGTTGTCTTTGATAGGAAATCTTTTAAGGGACTCTTCTACCGATTTTTGGTAAAATGTGACACATTTTAATTTAAATTGTTCGATTGCCGTGTTATTGCAGTGTTTTATTGCATCCATTGTATGCGGACTAACATTCACTTGTTCAATCGGTAATAAGCAGTGGGGATCATTAGGATTTAGATTATATCATTTCTCATTTTTAAAATATTCTAGTCGCATAAAGTTTGTACATAGATGACGTACAAATCGCTCACTCTATTGATATGATATTGAGCATAACTTTCTCTGATTGAAAGAGAGCATTAAATTGGTTAAAAATGGGCAATACGAATTTAAAAAACATTAAATACGCCTTAACAAATGGATTCTGTAACTCATTAAGTATTACATATGCTACAGGATTTTTGTCTTCAATGGAAGCTAATCTAAATAGGCTAAGCAAGATGTCCCAGTGATCCAAAACTCTATCAACACATTTGGATAAAGCAAGCCACCTTGTTTTACTAGGGCTTAAAATATTTAATTTTGACTTTTTGAAATATTCCTGTAATTCTTCAAGAACACACTGCCTTTTTGGGCTTCTTGAGAAGTAAGAATATAAGTTTGCTTGGAATCCTTTCAGCTGCCGCCACCGCCACTAAATGAGCAGAGTGGCAAATGCAGCCATTGACAATTATATTAGGATTATCTTTTAAAAGATAAGTTTTGAAAGATTCGTTATTGCCCATCATAACACTAGCGTTGTCTGAACAGTATCCAACAATATTGGTAATTTTTACTTGATTGGATATAACGCATTTTTTAAACCTTTGGCGGTACCTTCATCTGCGTTAATTTTAATTATATCTAATAAATGGGTTTTAATTGAATTTTCATGAATATACCTTACAAGAATGCATAGTAGTCTTGTATTGCTCAGGTCTGTACTCTCATCCAATAAAATAGAAAATGGTTTATTTTCCAATTCGGAAATTATTTCGTCTTTAATAACAGGAGCCAACACATTTTTAATTATACTTATGCATTTGGATCTTTTTAATTTAAGTGAGATAGAGAGATCTGGGTCTTTAAAACATAATTGACTAACTCCTGTTATATGATCAACAGTTCTAAAACTTATATAATGACTTACAACTAAAAGACTATATCTTAAGCAAGCAAATATTTGCCGTTTTTCCAACTCACGTTCCGGAGACTGAAAAGTGCTATCTAACGTTCTTACATTCGAAATTGCTTGTACATTAGTGGCATGCCTTTTTGATTTCGAATGATTCACTAAATCTGATTTTTTAGCACCCATTATTTGATTACAAGCTTTACATTTTGCTTTCAACTTGTCATTTTCAATAGGTCCCAACCAGCCTTTAAGTAACGGATCTTCTAGCCATGATGAAGTAAACATTTGTTTTCGTGTCTTTTTCTTAACAGGTTGCTCTGGCTCTTGGTTATCCTGAAGTCGAATTATCAGGCTCAGACCTGATTCCACTAGATTCCGCTCTTCTATTTTGTCTGTATTCAGGTTCGGGATGCTCCGAGTCCGACACAGATGCAGTCGAAGTGGATGGTACGGCCACGTTTGGTTTCACCGTTTGTTATTTAGAAGGATTTTTATCAAAAAAATCGTTAATGGTCTGCTGTCGCCTTTCCATTATTCCTATTTTCCAGAAGAAAAAGCGTTAAAAACAAATTTCGCGACTAAGATTTATGTCTGGATCAAACTATGATATGTTAGATATTTAAGCAGTTTTGTTACTTACCAGTAGATTTAATATTAAAATCTGCAGCAAATGATATATCAATAAAATGATCAACACAAAAATAAGAACACTAATATAAACGAAACTAAACAGTATATACCCAGAGCTGAAGAATACAATACAAAGCGAGAAACCTAATATTATGTCTGCCTGCTGAGACCTGTTAGAAACGATTAGTATTGAAAGCAGTACGTACGCCATCTGTTATTGAAAAAAAGGCAAGTGGAATAATTCTCTTCTCTGTTCCTAGATGGCTCAAGCGGCACCAAATGCACCAATTTTATTATTAATGTGATAATAAATCAGACTTTAGCCACTGCCTATTTAGGATTTAGAACGTTATTAACGTTAAAACAGTGAAATAAATATGATAGTTTTGTATGTAATAAATTCCGCTAAATTTTGGGCTAATTTGCTCTACCGCCGCTACGCCGCTCTTCTCAAAATAATCCGCTACAAATAGCGGAATTCCGCTACGTATGGCAACACTGCCCAGGACCCTGGTTAGCAAAAAAATGATCAGAAGTATATGAAACTTTGACACTCTTGTAATTACATTTATTATGTTTTGAAATAGCTTTTATTTGACAATAAACAGTTTTTATTTAAAAATACTTTTATTTCTGATATTCATCAATCACTATCTGTTTATTTTTTTACTAATTCATCGCTCACAGGAGACTTTTTGTCAATAGTGCTTATTCATAATTGTTGTATTTACTGATCTTATACCTGTTGGTATTAATGACTTGCTCAGCAATGGTGCTAACAATGTTTTTGAGCGAAAAATACGTTCCAATTGCTTTTTAGGATTTTGGGATTTTTCCACCAGAATTGCCTTACTTTTGAAACTGGACTTCTGTAAGTACATATGAGAAATTAGAACAAACTACTATTATATTATCCACTCATGTATTTTTACAAAAATATACATAAGCTTTTTGCTGTTATGACTGGTAGATTCTAGTAAGTACAAACTATTTACAAAAAAAACTGAAAAACATCAACCAGATGTAGAATTTCAACTGACATCTAGGCACACCTGTACTCCATATTAAGGGCCGTAAAGATTATTATATAGACGATAGCATAAAATGACTTCAACAACGTTTTATTTTCCTCTCCAATTTTACGTAATTCTGCTTGGGTAGGCACCATCGTTTTTGAAGGCAAAGTCAGAAAGTTTCTCTTTGGAACAAAATAACTTTTGAACTTGTTCAGATCTTGTATTGGCCTCAACATTCCTTTAGTATCAATCACTTCTCTGAACACCACAACTTTTGAAGGAGGTCTTAAGTTACACTTTGAATCCTGCACCTTCAGTAGCGTTTCCTTACCGTAAGCGCCATCTGTGATAGATATGATCTTTGGAATGCTTATGTCAGAATTGTCTATGTAGATTTTTACTTTTGGTTGATCAGTGGACTCATTGCTATTGTATGTATATTCTCCATCTATAGAAGATTCTAACTTTATTACTTCTTCCATACTCTTTTGAGGTATCTCAATGTGACAATACACTTGCGTGGATTTATCATCTAGTGACATTTCCGTAGATTTTTGCTCGCTAGTTGTGGTTTTGCATTCCGATATTTCATCCTCCTTAACGCTCTTGGTCCCATGCACACCTGTTTCTCTTTCACTTTTTATCGAAATGCTCTTTGAAATGGCTGGATCTACTTTTACTTCACTCGGAGTTTCGTCCAGATGTTCATTCTCACATTGATCCAAGGCTTCTTCATATGGTGCAGTTTCATCATTATTTTCCAAGTCGTGAAAAACTGGAATTTTGATTTGATGATGGTGACATTTGGTATCTTCATACTCTGCTTTAATTACTTTTTGCATTTCTATTTTAAGTGGTTTTTTGTGATCTTTGTGACCTGCCCCTGGTCGAGGTCCTTTCAAATCTTTATTTCTATCAGTTTCTTGAGCTTCTCCTTTCATAACTGTTGGAATTTCTTTTTTCTCATCGTATGTTTGTCTGTCCAGTGGTGGAAATTGTTCTGAAGATACCTTGAGCAGCTTGAGTTTGCTATGCATGGGGCACATCACGACCTGGCTTTCCTTATTCTCTTTTCTCACTAAAAAAGACACCTTTTTCTGTTTACTATGTTTCAACTCATTCTTGTTCTTTCTCAAACAACTCGGAGGTGGTTCTAATACGCAAATATGATGCATGTAAGCAAAATACCACACTTCAGCCTCTGTGAGAGGAATAGCGTAATGAACTAGCCTTGCAATATGTACCTCTCCTGTTTTGTCTATTTTCATGCTCGTCAACGTGTCTAAAAAAGTTAGAACGTTGTACAGAGATGGACTTCGCTCGATGTTTGTAGGCGACTCGAGATTGGTACGTTTTTCTTTCACGCCTTTCATGAATGGTGTCAAAAATTCTTTGCTGTCGATTTTTGGTACTGAAGGAGATTCATCTTTGAACCTTGGTACGTCAGCAAGTTCCTCAGGAGAGAAGAATTTTGGCTCGTCTATCGAAGAGACGTCCGCCTGGAAGGAAAAAAAAGGGGGTACGCTACATATCTCATATACCAATAGATACACCTTTCTTACTATACGAGTGTCAAATGAGGAGGTTTTTAGAAGAATATTTTTTCGTGTCTTATTTCTGCAACCTAGGCAAGTGAAATATACTAAGTGACATATAAATCCGAACACCCAGTTTAAATGGTTTTATTTTACTAAAAGTTGGTGAATGTATTTATCTTACTGTAAATAACAAGTGAAAAAATGTTCAGCCTTATCAGTTGGACATTCCGGTTTTTATACTGATTTTTTTTAATTCACTAACGCTCTAAAAATGAATATTTCAGCCGCAGTAAAGAATCAACGTTGGCGGATTTTGGTTCTTGACATCCTTTACGATCGGTTACGATGCCTAGAGTACGGAGACCTGTACGATTCCGTCAACTTAGTGAGTTTGATAGGGGCCGTATAGTGGGACTTCGGGAAGCTGGACTTTCTTTTCGGGCAATTGCAGTTAGAGTACAAAGAAGTGTAGACACTGTGGTTAGGTGTTGTCAGGCATGGCTTCGAGAAGGCCGTACGCAAAGAGCAAGGGGCACTGGACAGACCGTGAAGATCGCCGCCTAAGATTACTGGCCTTAAGGGACCGTTTCTCCACTACCAGGTCCATTGCAAATGAATGGTTTGCAGAACACGGAAGACCTATTGGCATGCGAAGTGTTTACCGACGAATGAGAAGTTTTGGCTTGTTTTCATACCGGCCACACTGGGTCCTCCCTTTAACTCGAGAACACCGACGTAATCGCCTTGAGTGGTGCAGACAACGGTCACTCTGGGATCAGGAATGGAACAGTATTGTCTTTAGTGACGAGTCTCGATTTTGTTTAGGCATGCACGATGGTCGTGCCAGGGTTAGAAGGCGACATGGTGAAAGGAGGAATCCACAGTTTTTTTGTTGAAAGACATGTTCATCACACTGCTGGAGTTATGGTTTGGGGTGCTATAGCTTATGGTTCCAGGTCACCTTTAATCTTCATCAGAGGTAACATGAACGCGCAACGTTATATCCACGAAGTTCTAGAACCCCATCTTTTATCCTATCTTGACACCCTGGCAGATCCAACTTTCCACACATTATTAAAGGTCAAAGGGCTTTAAAGCAGTGCAATCATTTTGAAATTTTTATCATTTACTTATTATGCTTCATTAAGTACTTATACAAAATTTTATTAAAATAAAACCATTTAAACTGGGTGTTCGGATTTATATGTCACTTAGTATATTTTGGTCGCATAATCACACTTTTTTGATACGATGATCGATATAACCTTAAAAAATGAGGTTATGGACCCAGAGCAGAGTTGCGTGGAAAGTGCAAACTAAACTCTTCCACCAATTATTTTTATGTTGCGATCCCAATACTTCCCCTACCAACAATCGTTAAAGGAAAATTAAAAATAAACCAGAAAAGTAGATACATTTTGGATGTCATCTAGTTGGCTGTAGATATCCTCAACCCTCTGTATGATCTTGTTGACATTATCTGAGAAACTCTCAAGGGTCTCGTTCTCATTTTCTGTTTTAAGCGCTGATGTTATGGTTTCTGGATCTACACTGATTTCAATTTGATCCTCCAGCTCAGAAATTGTGTTTCTTTGATCCACATGCTTTGGTTCTTCTTGAGTCTTGTCAGTCTGTTGAACCAATTACGATAATTGTCAATGGGTATTAAAATGAATAACGGTTTTTGAAGTATGACTATTATATCAAAGGCTACCTCAGCTTCTTGAGCAGCTTCTCGCTTAACTGGTTTTGGATCATCATGTTCTGGAATATGTGAAGTAGCGTTTGAGATCTCGTACAGCACCTTGGGAATGTCTCTGATGTACGGGGCATCCAACAAATTTAGTAGGATATTTTCTGCGATCTGTTTGGACGTCTCTGGCTCTGGTAGGATCTCTTCTGCGATCTGTTTTGGCGTCTCTGCCTTTGGTTGTTCCCTTTCTGGAATGTGTGTTGGTACCTCAGGAAAATCTTGAATAAACAGTAGACCATTTTAATCAGTATTTAATGACAGGATTGATTGTCTTAAATCAATGATTTGTATCAAGTGATTTTTTTGATAAAAATCAGTATTTCAATCAAACTTGATGTTTTAAGTTCATGGATTACTTAGAGTAATAATAATCAAATTAGCTATATAAAAGAAAATATTTAAATACATGCATTAATGTAGAATGTGTTAGAAACAAAAAAATCATGATTATTATCAACCCTGTTTTACGAGTACCGTCTTGAATGTACTCAAAAAGATACTTGCCCAGTAAGTAGAGCGAATTATGATTTTGTACTTTCGAAAAATAAGGATGTTTTTTGTTTGGATTTTACCTATGGACGCAAGAAGGTCCATCTCGGCATTATTTAACGATAAAATGTCTTCAGTTTTCGGTTCGGAATCAAGAACATCCTTGTTTGATTCAGTAGTAGCACTTCTGTCCACATTTTCAAAATCACGTATCGCATTCGCATTGATACCGTCAACAAAATCTCCGTTGCTATTCGTATCTTCTGAAGTACTTTGTTTCTTGTTTTCTTCGGGGGTTTCTTGTTTGACAGTTGTGCCAAAATCGCTGCAATACATTTTTTATTTAGATCACAAAAGCGGCACAAATCATGCAGAGTTACTAGATGACGAACGGCAATGTTACAAATAGTGAACAACTATAGTGAATTATAATTATCGTTACTAATTAAAACATTAATCATATCAGAAATGATATGTGAATACAATTTTCCAAAATCGTCAATTTTACAAAATAAGAATTTGGGGTACAGCAAGGCACAACACTGGGTGTAGGCTTATTCCATGCCCTTGTTAATACCTAATTATAAAAATTTGGACAGGGTGTCGTCGAAGAGGGGATTTTCCTTCACAAAGTGTATAGGCTAGGTAATAGCAAGTAAGTTTTCCTAGTATCACATATACCAAAAGAAAAAAGAAAAACTCTGAATAAGCCATTCCTCCCCCCTCCTACGTCAAAGGGTATGATGTTTTGTGGTATGACTATGAAAGTCAGTATCCAAATAAGGCGCCGTGCGGTGTGGAGGTTAACCTAAATTATAAACAAACCGCTGTTGAAAGCCGAATTGGCATATTCATATACAACAATAATGTAGTTATCGACTTGATCTTAGTTTACTGTGAGCGTCTTCAAGATCCTATTGATACTTCGCGAGTGTATTCGAGTATTCAGAAGAGTGGCGCTCCCGGGATTTCAGTCTGGGAGGGGTAAAATGGAAAGTAAATTCTCAGTGTGACGAACTGAAGTGTTATAATGATTTAACATTAAAAGTATGGACATATGAATTTGTTACAGTAATTTCTGTAGAAAATACATACAATTTTTTTAATTTTGAATCATACGAAGTCAAAGTGTAAATAAAGCAAACCAAGCTCGAGCAATCTTCATATATTAAAACAAAAAAGTAAAATAATATAATCTATCACAGACTTTTCTCCATAACAATGTCTGAGAAAACAACAAAAAATACATCTTCATGAAAAAATAACAATAACATATATGTTACGACTTCTATAACGTATAAAACTGAATGTAAATCAAAATAAAATTCTTAATCATGAGAAAAACACAAAAAATATTCATTGCATAACTACATTCTCTTAGCCAGTCTCAAAAAATAAAAACATATAAACTATGAAACTACATCAGTTCACAGTCTCAAAATAAAACAATCATTACATTAGCTTAGAGAGTGATTTGAACAGACTTTTATATCAATCTGCTGGCCAAAAGATCACCGTGGTGGTTTAAACGTAAGTAAACCCTTAACAACATCTTTTTTATTTATTGGCCAACAGACGGGAGATGGTTTTGAGAGACAACCTTAGGCAAAGTGGCAAAGTTCAGGTGTTATCATATTACAAAATGAAGGCGCCTATTCTCTTTGCTGCCGAACCGATCTATGATTGTATTCACATCTATTTTAATATCCCTATGCATATACAAAAGAGCTAAACCCACTAATCGCTCTTGTAACATAGTGGAGATCAGCCAAGTTTTTATCCTCTTTAGATGGGAGAAACTTCTTTCAGATGTTGCAACACTTACCGGCAATGAAATCAATAATTGTAGGCATATATTAATTGAAGGAAAAATGTTTTCATCACATGATAAATACAGTGACATTCCACTGTCTATAATATCTTGTGTACGTGACTTCCAAAGGCCAAATTCTGCTTTTAATCTGGTACTTATTGAATTTTTGTTTTAGTTACTATTTGGTCCGTGCAAATATTTAGATATTGTTTCTAATGTGTCCATTACTTCAACTTCAGTTTTTGAATTAAATACTGACGCAAAGAAAATATTAAAATTGTATATATTCAAAAATTCTTCATTGAACCGGTATACCAAATCCTGTAATATAATATCTAGCAAAGGGACATATAGGTTCAGTCTGTAATGATTTTTCTTGCCAGATGTAACTATGTTCGGTCTGTTCATTTGCCTGCTTGTTATTCTTGGCACAGCCAGTTCAATACCCAGGGTTTTATGTGATTTTATTATAGATGCGAATAGTATTCTAAAGTGTTTTTGGGAACTTGCGCGTCTTTCTTGTACAACTTAGTGATGTAAAATAATTAAGTAACGCTTACAAAATAATCGTTACAAATGAGTAACTAAATGTAACGAGTCCTACTTTTTGAAAAGACTCGTTACTTTTTATTTGAATTCGTTACTTTGAATGCGATACGGTATTTTTCTATGTATACTTTTTAATTACTGTTAGTTACTACACTATACATTACTTTAGATACAAACGTTACTGGGATCTAATGTAGCCAGTACTGCCAGCGCCAGCAGCAAGTGACTTGGTTCTTGGATGTAAACTGGGTGGAAATGAAATGATGCGAATATCGTTAGGCTTAGGCAACTTTAGATACTCTTCTATCAAACGAGTTGCGGACTGCGGAGCTTTAGGTTGGCAATGTTTGTGTACACCTGTATACTTTTCATTTGACTGTGAGAGCTAGCGGTTGGCGGGTTGTTACTGGTTTGGACGTTGCCGTACAAGCTCGAGCAATAATATAATTATTATTTGTACAAAAATATGGAATCATCCGCGTCCGGTTCAGGAGAATCGCAAAATCAAAAAAGAAGTGTTATTTGGATGCATTTCACCAATATATCGGAAGCTAATGCAAAGTCTAATCTTTGTAAAAATATTTATTCGCATAAAAATGGAAACATTAGCAATTTAAGGAAGCATTTGAAAACTAAACATCCGACTCTTTCATTGGAAGGAGAAAGGGCAAAACGGCGGGTGGAAGACGAAAATATGCCTAGGTGCAAAAAGAACTTAGTTTCAGGTATGTTTTATTATTATAAGTATTTTGTTGAACACCATTTACAGTGGAGTAACCAGACTGTTAAGTAGGGCAGGGGAGTAACCAGACTGTGAAGGCAGGAGACGCTACTCAACTAAAGTGAACAGTGAGGAGAGTGGTTCCTCCACGGTCCCCATCTGGTATGCCACTTGTTAAAAACTATTTACAGCGTACAGCCAACGAACCAGACGTCACACAACGACGAGTTTAAAATATAAGTACCTTCTACGTATCAAATATCAAAAAAATTAATAGGCAAGGCATTAGACAAAAAATAATAATTGGATCAATCCCAAAGTAATAATTTGATATAATATATAGAATTTAGGTTCTAAACGAAATGTCCAAATAGTAACTAAACTAACGAGTCCAAAGTTCGAAAGTAACGAGTCCTTACAAGTCCTAAAAAGTAACGAAACTTTGCATCACTATACAACTGAAATAATATTTCCTGAGTTTGACAGCGTATTGTTTCTCAATTGTTTTTGATTGTAAAATCTTAATCAGGTTGACTGATAAAGCTAATATATCACGCAAACACTTTAGTGATACGATAAATTGGGTGGAAGTAATGGCAGTCTTCAAAGACTCCGCTTTTGAAGAAGCTTCGCGGTCTTTCCAATTTTATATAATATTTAGTACCTCTACTGTTTCGAAATTTTGGGATATCCTGTATTAAATTGGATCAATTGTTCACTGAGAAGCAGTTCTTTTCCTGAAAATTTGAAATGCTCTACAATAACACCAGTTCCCAAAATAAAAAATTCTAAAAAATGCAGCGATATGAGACCAGTAAATGTGTTGCCAGACATTGAAAAATTATTAGAGTCCATAATGCATGACCAATTAATGCAGTTTATAGAAGAAAACAAAATTTTAGTAGAGGCGCAAGCAGGCTTTCGAAAAAAATATTCCACAGAAACGGCTTTCCAGTTGATAACTGAGAATTGGAGAAGAGCCATAGACTCAGAAGAAGTTGTCATAGCAGTATTTTTGGATTTGAAGAGGGCATTTGAAATGATTGATAGAGATATTTTGTTAGGTAAATTGAAGGCATATGGTATAACAGGCAGTGTTTTAGATTGGTTTAGAAATTATTTGTCTAAAAGGATGCAAGTTACAAAAGTTAATGACACTATTTCATCAAAAATTGAAAATACGTTGGGTGTTCCACAGGGCAGTATCCTGGGACCACTTCTTTTTATTTTATACATAAATGATTTACCTGTCATAGTCAAAAAATGCAACATTCTGATTTTCGCTGATGACACTATGATTTATATAAGTACTTAAAATATTCAGACTGGTATCTCTTATATAAATGAAGACTTGAAATTTGTCTCAAAATGGTTAGCATCTAACAGAGTAAAATTAAATACAAGTAAAACGAAAGCCTTGTTAATCGGAAAAAAACAATGTACAAATGTTCAACTGAATATTGATGGTGAAGATATTGAATTCGTAGAAAATTTTAAATACCTGGGGATTTCTGTTGACTCGATTAATTTTTGATATTCATTATGAAAAATTTATAAATAAGATTAGTAGTAAAGTGGGATATTTATCGAGAATTTCTGGATGTCTGAGTTCATATAGCAGAAAAATTATCTATAATACCATCATTCTTCCAAATTTTTTGTACTGTTCGACTATTCTATATTTAGCAAATAATTCCATTTTTGAAAGACTGCAAATTTTACAAAATAAGTGCATAAGAATAATACTTAATAAAGATAGATATACTCCAATTAGGCAAATGCTTAGCAAATTAAAATGGCTCAATGTAAAATTTTTTATTAAATATCTTGTAATGATATTCATTTATAAAGTAAAAAATAATATATTTCCATCAAGTCTAACTAATTTAACATCATCAAATGTCGACCATCATTCACATAATACCAGAAATAAAGATGACTTCCATTTAATGACCAAAAAGTATAACATATGCTACAAATCTGTATTCCATCAAGGGGTGATTGAATATAATAAATTATACTCGGAGATAAAAGACCAGAAAACTTTGACAAAATTCAAAGTAAAATTGAGAAATCACTTGTTAAATCTACAATTGTAGGTTGCCCAGCATTTACATCATACACCATATGGCTTGAATTTACTAGTTCTAAGTTGTTTACAATTATTCTGTTTATGTAGCCAAATGTGCTAAATAAATCTTTCTACTACTACTACTACAATTTTCTCGAATTTGCTTTCAAATTGGAGCACAGAATCATGTCTCTCGGTCCATCGTGTTTCGCACATACTATGAATTTGATATCTGTCTAGTTTTCTTTTTAATACTGTATTTCTTTTAGCGGATGCTTTGAAGAACGCAATTACTTCATTATACCTACATTATTTCTTACTGCTTGGACACTGCTGCCTTTTGAAATCGAAAGATTCAAGGCATCAATAGAACATAGAAAATAGCGTTAATACCAACAGGATCAACAAAACTCCGCTTGTTCACGTCTCAGCCAAATTTTGTTGCGGACTCCGGATTAGTCACTAGACTAGACCATAAAAGACTAGACTATACCTGTTCCAACATGAAGAAGCGTACACCGTTGCTGTTGGTGAGAAAGTAGTCGCTAGTCGCATGCGCACTGAGCGGGTTGGCAGTGTTGCCGCTATCCTTTCTTAAAGTTACATATTTTTTTATAAGACGTTTACTTCATACTACCACCTTTTCAAAGACTGCTCGAGTCGACTGCGTGGGGGGCTAATTACCCCCCCCCCTCCGTGGAAGCGCCAGTGATTCAGAACGTCTGCCGTCCTCGATATTTCCATCAGAGCGGCGTAGGTTTGTTCATATCGTTCAAATACCGTCTGACTGGACACAGTAGAAGCTTAGACAGCCCCAAATGTTGCAAATTTAGGAAGCAATCAAACTCGGGATTTTGAATTGATCAGCGACAACTTCAAGCAGTAATTAAAAACAAAACATGTTAGAGGACAGACCCAAATACATATTATATATTGTTCTTAAATTTCTTTTTTAAGTTTTCGGTGCGGTTTTATCGCAAATTAACGTTGTTAAAAGCAGTTGTTTCTGAGAAGGAATGTCCTAACTTTCAGGACACCCTTTATATGTAAATATTACTGCTTGCCTTGTAATCTCTTTTTGTTGATCACCAGAACAGCCCGCTGTAACTTCCAGCCTCGGAGAACTTTTCACTGACATTGCGGAAAATTTCCTTGATTTTTCGCTTTTTTTATGTGGCTTCATATGTCGAGTACCATCGGTTATTTCTTCCACTGAAGTTGTTATTGACGACGACCTATCCAGAATTTTATTGTTATACGTGTACATGGATAAAAGATCATGAGCCTGGGTTTCTTTTACAGAACTTCAAAAATATAACTAGACACCAAAATAAAAAGTATCGCTACTAGAGCAGAAATTGAAGAAACGTCTTTGATACTCACAGTAAGTTATTTTTGTTGGTCTTTTTATTATTTGTCCCCACGTGTTCTTGTCTATCAGTTCGTTCTGTCGTTGAACTGCATCTGGATATCTCAGAATCTAAAATCTGATCCAGTTTCTTGAACAGCTCATCTGAAATCGTCGTGAACTCTTCTTCGATCTTATCAGGATTATTACCAGTGCCCCTCTTTCTCTTATTACTTGTTTTTTCTGCATCTCCGAGAGCCTGATTCTTCATCATACTCAATACGTTTGTTATTTCCTTCGATATAAAATAATACAAAGTGAACAGTGGAAAAGTGCGCCACATGGTGATTTCTAAGATCGACATTTTCAAATTTTCTTCATGAAAAACTACCAAATGAATGGGCTAGTATTAAAAATCAAAATATAAAACAGACTGACCACAATTGTCACTTACTTTTTCCATATCGTCGAATGCTTCCACACTGCTACTATCAGCAGGAGTGCTCAAAATGTGCACCATTTTGGTTTCAATCACGTTGATCGCTTTTTGTATGTTGCTTTGGATCGTGTCGTTTTTGTCCTTAAGCCCTCTTAATTGAGCCAACATCAGATTATGTCTGAGGCTTGGGACACTTTTTGGTCGATCTATCACAAAAAATTATCTTTGACACAAATTTTGAAAATTTCGACATCTCTCATGATAAAAAGTTCAACATTTTTGAAACAAGGTTTCAGATAATTTGGAGAATTTGAATAATCTAGAGAATTTAAAAAAATTGAAGCATTTAAAGAACTTGAGAATCTAGAAAATTTAGAGCATTTAAAGACTTTAGAGAATCTAGAAAATCTAGAATTTAGAGATATTAGAAAATTTAGAGATATTAGATAATTTAGAGACTAGAGGATTTAGAGTATCTTGAAAATTCACAGAATTTGTAGAAATTGGGGAATTTAGAGAAATTAAGAGAATGTGGAGAACCAAGAGAATTTAAGGAATGTAAAGAATTCAAGAAACTTTAGAGGTGCTAAAGGATTTAAGGAAAGCCCATAAATAATTTATAGTATTTAGAGAATTTGGGGAATTCAGTACTTCGACTACTAACTGACCTTCGTGGGTTATTGGTAAATTCTTGGGGGTTGGCGTGAGCTGATTTTTGGGCGATGGAACCGTAACGGTGGGGACTGGTATAGAAACGCTATTTGTGGCGTTCTGGTTGGTCGGTGGCGGTTGTGCCACCACCACTGCCTGATTTTTTATCACCGGCTCAGCGTATTTCGGCCTTGGAACACTATACACTTCTGTTTGGCGTTCGACGAAGCTTACCTGGTGTAAGAATTCAAAGTAAATGATCCAAAATGATAATCAGGAACGAAGGTAGAATGCCCAACTAGCTATACAGGGTGTCCCAGAAGTCGACGTCAAGCCGAAACCGGGTGATAGGCAAAGTCATAACAGCTATCAGAAAAATATTTAAAAAAATTTTATGTATGTCGCTCATTGAATGCAGGACTAGCTCAAGTCACAAAATGCTAATTTTACAGGAGATCATTTTTTCTGATTTTGTCTTAAACTTCTTGCAAGTCTTGAATGAAAATGTGTTCATAATATGAGTATACTTGCATGTGTTTTGCTCTTTTAAGGTTTTTTTATTTAGGCTTACAAAACCGAAATTTGTGGACTTAGGATACTCGTCTTCGTGGAAGTTGTATCATATGTCCACATAGGATAAGGTGTAGTCGTAATATAAGTAACTTAGGCTAGTTCTGACCCATGTTTGTATCTATATATGTACATTCAGCTTATTCAGTACAAAAATAGAAACGGGAATACGTTGAAAACGTTTATTGACAACTAAGCAGTCTTATTATACAGGTACATAATATTATAATTAACTACCAAAACATAGACGAGGCATTCAGGAAAACGATGGACGGTGCTCAAAATAATAACAGGAAACAAAAATTATAATTCAGTATCCCCACCAGATCAACTATTGCTACCTGATATATAAAAAGTGGTAGTATTAAGAAACTTTTTGTAACAGAAAAATGATGAACTTCTATTCTCGTCGTCATCCCTACTTACGTTGGAATACTGTAAGTTCTTGTAGAAACTGCGGTACCGAGTAGGTATAGTCCCATTGTCACATAGGAGTTGCAGATGATCATACTTTTTTTTGCTGATCGGGATAGCACCCTTGTAACATTGCTTTAACTGTATATTTTTTAGATCATCAATTGTCCTCCTGCCTTTTGTTAATAAATCAATTGTTCTGAACGGTTCATTGTAGTGGTATTTGAATAAAATTTTATTTGGAAATTTGAAGGTTCTCTCTAAAATTCGTATTTTATTTATAGAAACCATCTCATTTTCCACATCACGTTCCCAATTCAAAATGGTATCCTTGGCAAGCGCTTTCAAATCAAAAAAATCCTCTTTGTCCATCTCAATTACTACATATGGTTTACTTCTTTTTGCACTGCGTACTAAAGTATAAAATTAATACCATTGATCAGCGGTAAATAAAGGGATAAGCTTAGATGCTCGTTCAATTACACTATGCATCGAATCCCCTTCGGTTTACATATGACCTTTCTCCTAAAATGTATGCCTTATCACAATATTGTGCTTCTGTGCTAATAAGCTATACGTATTAAAAATATATTTGTTTCGATTTTCACCTGCATAATTGTCGGAATAGAAAGAAAATTCTCTCGTATCTTCATGTACTTTGAGGTCGATAAAGCGCATCAAACAGCTGCCTATTTCTGAGCTTCCCCTTTTCCCAACAGACTCGTACCACATGTAACAATGTCCTTCAGAATTTGCCAAGTTAAAAATCGTGAAATTGTATGTTGATAATTTAAGTTTGTAATATGCCATACCAACATTACTTTTGGGGAGAGGCAGTATTTGTTCCAAATCAAAAACGGCTGCACAAAATTCTCTATTTTGCTTAGCCGTCTGTTTACCAGCATTCTTTAAATCCCGTCCAATGTCCTTGTTCTTTCTGTGCAACTGGTATTCTTCTTCCATTTCAGTTCTTTCTTCTGTTGTTCCGCCATCATACTTGTTGCAAATATCAAACAAATCTTTTTTAGGGATGAAAAATGAGAAGTTGAATTCGGTGTTGATGATTATTCTGTAAATGCTTTCTGTCGCAGGTTGGATGTTGTTCTGCTCACAATATTCAAGATAAAGGCCATACATCTTCGAAATATTAAGCGTTGGTGCCAGAAATTGCTTTGAAGTGTTTTTTCGGCAGTAGTGACTCTCGACTGTTTCGAATAGATTAATGTGGTCCTTCACTGACTGCTTTATTGAATCACTCAATTTAGAATTCTTGCATGCCTTACCACACCGATCTGCCCCGACTGTACCGGTGCTACCCATTTTTTTTTAACACTGTCTTAATGACCTGGGCGCTTATCCCTAAAGTATTCATAAAAAAAGTTTTACAGACCGCTATTTTCTATCGACGATTTAAAAATGTATACTTAAAGGAAAACGCCTTTTCTCTTCCTGTTGTGTTTTCTGTACAGGTAACTTCGTTACTACTGTTTCCATCATGCTTTCTTAACCGTGTGCTTTTCTGGTCCATTATATTTACATACTGGGCAATAAAATCCCGTTGTCTATTGACGTCCCCCAGTTGCCAATATCTGTCAAATATCTGTTTCCTCTCTTCTTCTGTGAACTTTTCGCTGCACTTTCTGCAGTTAGTACAAGGAGGTTTTGGTTGTCTTTTTGGACGGAGGTTTCCTCTCCAGTCTATATACTTCTCGCCAAGATTCCGCAGCTTCTTTATTTCATTTCTTCTCTATGCACCCGGATTCCTCTGTCTCTTCCGTGTATTTTTCTTGGTTTTCATCGACTCATTTTTATCATCATGTTCTGATAAGTTTTCGATATCATCTGGATCTCTACTGTGAGTTGAGTTTTTCTTTAATGTTGGTATATAGTCCATGTCATTGCTATCATTACTGGTGGCAAATGGGTCACTCTCACATTCAGAAAGCATAAAATCATTCTCTATAGTATTTGAGGATTTTGATGTGAAGTCAGTATTTTGTAGAACAGTTTTCTCATATGTATCTCCACCGTTCAATTCAACTACAGCGGGACTATTGATCTTAAGGATTTCATTGGATGGATATTCCTCAATGGTTACAGAGTTATTTTGTAGGATGTAAGTTGAACTTTCCCAAGGCATCAAAAAAAGAGGAGGCTGTTGGGTGATACTGTCCTGCATCAGTTAAGCTATGCTTCTTGCCGAAGAAGGTATTTTGGGAACATCATCAGCTTGGTTGTTCGAAGTTGTTGATGGCATCATCTTTGGTACATATTCTAGAATCAAATTGGACATTGTAAATTAACAGGAAGGCAACACGAACGAATATTAGCAAATTTTTTAGATCCACCTACAGAAAATAATAGTCGGGCTAATAATTGTTAGCTATAATCCTATAATTCAATCAGTTTTCCCTTCTTATTCCTCTTCGAGTCACCCTCAAATCGTCTTTTGTAGATTATAACTTTATAGTTTATACAGTATCGAAGTCTAATGTCACTTACCTTCTGTAATAGCCTCTCCAATTTTTTGTTTGGCATTCGGAGTAAACGATGTAGATGAGCTCCTTTTCTCTTGCTGTTGTATGCCTACAAATCATACCCATACATAATTCGGAAATTATTAAAACTTAATTTATTGTCTCACCAGCCTTCGGGGTGCCTTCTGATTTTTTCGGGGCCACCAATTGTATCATTTTTAAAGTTCTAGAATTCATTGTGACCGCGATATACAAAATAATATCGCTACTTAAGGAAGTTACCGTATTGCAGAAGTATTATATATCCACAGCTACTATGTACTTGGTATACAAATTCTAATACAGAACTAGCCTATGTCCATACAAAGCACATACTTAGCATACGCAACCGCCAAGGGATTGTTCTGCACTGAATCTCGGAACGCGTCGCAAGTTGGGATATTTGCATAATAGACGCGGTAGAGGGGATAACGTGTTGATATTATAGGCTAGTTCTGCACCCAAATCCGGCATGGGCCGTAGCATCCCATGGTGTTATTAATGCAAATTCGGCAAAAATGGACTTGGGCTAGTTCTGCATTCAATGAGCGATGTGTTTTGAAAATTATAGGTCTTTGAAAAAGATATAGAGATTTCACACCCTACGGCAGTCTGTCAACTCGTGTTACTACAAATATTAACTTTTTTTGGATTTTATTTTCACACTGTAATGACGAATGATGCATCTTCAAACTGGTGTCTCAACCTTACTGCCAACTTTTCTCGTTCAGGAAAAATTGCCACTTATTTCCCAACCAAGTATTCCAAAGTAAAACTTTGCTCAACTTTAACTGGCTGTACTGGAAAAAATGTACTACGAGAGTTTGGCAAGTAACCTTAAAAGTTGGCGCATTTAATAAAGATTCCAAAATGGTATAACACTTAGAAGATTACTCGTTAACTTATGCACAATTTTTATTTGAAAAAAAATTGATGAAAATTTTTCAAAATTTCCTAATTAAACAGCGATTATGAAAACGCACAAGGACCCTTAAGGATAACTGTTTGCACAACAGTGGGCGTCAAAATGCTGCTGATGATGATTTACCTTTACAGCAAATGCTCAAACTGTTTTCCTTGAGCCGCAATACACGCTCGACATCTTAAAAAAGATCGGGTTATTAAACGAGCGAATCCACGGTTATTAACAAACTCCAATAGTCTTTGCCGTAGCTCAGCTACATTTTGAATCGGCTTGAAATACACTTTTTCTTTTACAGTTCCCCAGTAGAAAAATCTAAAGGATTCAAATCAGGTGAACGGGCTGGCCACGGTATTGTACCAGACCGCCTTATCCATCTGCCTGGAAAGTTTTGATCGAGATACTCTCTCACTGAGAGTGCATAGTGCGCTGGACAGCCATCATGCTGAAACCACATGTCCCTGTAAATACTCAGTGGCACGTCCACCAATAAATTTTGTACATGATTTTTCAAAAAATCCAAATAAACTTCAGCAGTCAAAGTCTCTGGGAACTCAAACGGACCGATTATTTTACCATTTAAAATTCCTGTCCAGTGGTTTATCTTGAAGCGATATTGAGATTTATCTTCTGTCATCAAATGTGGGTTTGCTACGTGCCACTCGTGTAAGTTCATGTACCCATCTTTCTTAAATGTGGTCTCATCCGACCATAAAATTTTTTCAAAGAACTGTGGATCTTTCCTGTGTCTTTCTAACATTGTGCGACAAAAAGCAACTCGGGGCTCATAATCCCGGGGCAGGAGAGGTTGAACACGCTGTATGTGGTATGGATGAAGCACATCACTTACTTGCTATTGCACACTTTGATACCGATCAGTACTCCTTCGTTTACTGCGCATCTTTACATGTTCGTGCTTGTTGATTTCGTACTGTTACTAATTTTGGATTCGTGAACTGGACTGTTGATCGCTTGTGATTTGGATTTGGACTGTTTAATTGCTCTTCAAAACAACATTTGCTTTCCTTAGACTATCTTTGATAGTGTGATTGTGCAGTGCCGCTATGTCCGTGTACACCGTACAAGAATATGCTAACATGCTCCTCATTTATGGGGAATGCAGATGCAACGCTAGTGCTGCAGCGAGACTTTACTGTGAGAGGTACCCGAATGCAGCTCGTCATCCAGATCATCGAGTGTTCCCAAATGTGCACCGCTTACTGTTCTCAGAAGGCCAACTACCAAACCAATCACACGGTGAGGGAAGATCTTTCCTTCCTTACAAAGACGTGGTGCTAGGAGCTGCCGAAGAAGACCCGAGTACTTCAGTGCGTGCAATAGAACTAAAAACAGGTGTGCCCAAAAGTACAGCCCATAGAATCTTGCAAAAAAACGTGCTCCATCCATACCACGTACAGCGTATTCAAGCTCTTCTGCCCGGGATTATGAGCCCCGAGTTGCTTTTTGTCGCACAATGTTAGAAAGACAGGGAAGATCCACGGTTCTTTGAAAAAATTTTATGGTCAGATGAGACCACATTTAAGAAAGATGGGTACATGAACCTGCATAACTTACACGAGTGGCACGTAGCAAACCCACATTTGATGAGAGAAGATAAATCTCAATATCGCTTCAAGATAAACCATTGGACAGGAATTTTAAATGGTAAAATAATCGGTCCGTTTGAGTTCCCAGAGACTTTGACTGCTGAGGTTTATTTAGGTTTTTTGCAAAATCATTTAGAAAATTTATTGGAGGACGTGCCACTGAGTATTTACAGGGACATGTGGTTTCAGCATGATGGCTGCCCAGCGCACTATGCACTCTCAGTGAGAGAGTATCTCGATCAAAACTTTCCAGGCAGATGGATAGGGCGGTCTGGTACAATACCGTGGCCAGCCCGGTAACCAGATTTAAATCCGTTAGATTTTTTTTCCGGGGGAACTGTAAAAGAAAAAGTGTATTTCAAGCCGATTCAAAATGTAGCTGAGCTACGGCAAAGACTAGTGGAAGCAGCTGAGTTTGTTAATAACCGTGGATTCGTTCGTTTAATAACCCGATCTTTTTTAAGAAGATGTCGAGCGTGTATTGCGGCTGAAGGAAAACAGTTTGAGCATTTGCTGTAAAGGTAAATAATCATCAGCAGCATTTTGACGACTTTTAAGGCTACTTGCCAAACTCTCGTAGTACATTTTTTCCAGTACAGCCAGTTAAAGTTGAGCAAAGTTTTACTTTGGAATACTTGGTTGGGAAATAAGTGGCAATTTTTCCTGAACGAGAAAAGTTGGCAGTAAGGTTGAGAACCAGTTTGAAGATGCATTATTCATCATTACATTGTAAAAATAAAATCCAAAAAAAGTTAATATTTATAGTAACAGGAGTTGATAGACTGCCGTAGGGTGTGAAATTTCTATACTTTTTTCAAAGACCTATAATTTTCAAAACACATACATACATTTTTTTTAAATATTTTTCTGATAGCTGTTATGACTTTGCCTATCACCCGGTTTCGGCTTGACGTCGACTTCTGGGACACCCTGTATATAAGATATACTGTTTACTAACAAGTTGTTGCTGGACGGTTTTCCCGTAGATGAAGTTCCTCTGATGTCTTCTGTCAGGCATGTAAGGAAGTTTCTTAGACTGTAGAACCTTAGTCGGGGATTTTTCCTGCTTTTGCTTCGTGTCATTTCTTCCTGATATAGGTGAATTCCTCTTCATGGCCGATGATGAATCGTAAGCAGTGCAGTAATTTGAAAAACCTGGAACGAAATTTTATGAATTCTCTAAATTGTTTGAATTCTCCTCGTACCCCTCGGAGAGAACGACCTGCTAGTCTTCTGGCGAGCTCCAGTTAAAGATTTCTTTTCATCTTTGCACCTAGCGCTGTTTGAATAGATTTTGGATGTCAAACTGATTGACATGTTCATAGCGTCTAATGGAGTTTCAGGTTTTGGCGCTGGTGTCAGTAGTTCGAGAGGTTTGTTAGGCAGCCCATCATATACTACCTAGATGCAAAAATAAGATCAGTACTTGACAAAGTTAAAGATGCAAGGTCCATTTTCATATTGGTAGGAGAGTTAGATTGTCCGTCGATGTAAATCAGGCTTGATACCATGTTCCTAAGAACGGCTTGACAGCAGCACTGGTACCATAGATCGCCAGATAGCACAGAAGATCTCAAAAACGTCCATTTTATGCACTGATCACTGATCAACAGCCAAAAAATATCCTAAATAAAATCAACAAAATATTACTATTTTTAATGTGCTAAAACCGGAATGAAACTTATTTTTTCAATATTAATGTTCAAGTTTTAGAGATACGGTAATTACATGTGTTCCTGCTGCGACAGTGTTCATATACTGTAATTCACAAGAATGCACGTGCTACATTTTTATATTCGGCAAGGAAAGATGATGCAATCGGCATGATTGTGTTACGTTATACATACGTGTACAATATATTGTTTTATATTAGCCATTTTTTCCTCAGTTGGCTGACAGCGTTCATGCAAAATGTCTCGAAAGTGTGTAAACAATCCAGATTTGTTTTGTTACGTGTGTGGTGATGTGACTTTTGCGTCTCGGAGACGGTCTATTGCTCCACTAATAACAAAGGCATATCAGCTTTATTTCGGTTATAAACTAGGTGATCAAGACAAACAGTGGGCCCCCACATCTGCTGTAATAAATGGCAAAAAACGGTCTATGCGCTTTGCTGTCCCAATGGTTTGGAGAGAGCCTACAAATCATATTAATGATTGTTACTTTTGCATGGTACCTTGTGTTGGACAAGCCACAGGTATGTCCAAGAAAAAAAAATCGGTTATTAACTACCCAAACATACCATCTGCGATGAGACCTGTGCCTCACACAGTGACGAAAATCCTATTCCAAAACCCCCAGAATCCTACACTTGCGAATCAGAAAACGAATCAGATCATGGCGATCGAGTGATTCGTCAGGAAGAAGATATGCCATCAACGTCAAGAGATCCTGATTTTATACCAAGCACGTCGTGCGACCAACCGCACAAAATAACACAGTCAGAATTAAATGATCTTGTAAGAGATTTAGAACTTCCAAAATGTAAGGCAGAGTTACTTGGATCAAGACTGCAGCAGTGGAACTTGTTAGAAGACGATGTTTCGGTATGTGTTTTTCGTAAACGCCACAAAGACTTAGAACCATTTTTCAATATGGAGAATAACTTGGATTTCTGCAGTAACATTAACGGCTTACTGGCGGCTTTAAATATAAACTATAACTCAGAGGAATGGAGATTGTTTATAGACAGTTCAACATTGAGTTTAAAGGCAGTGTTATTGCATATTGGAAATATTTTACCATCTCTTCCTGTAGGGTATGCAGTTCACATGAAAGAATCATATGACAATATGAAGTACCTATTGACATGCATAAAATACGATGACCACCAATGGCATATTTGTGGCGATTTGAAAGTTGTTGCACTTTTACTTGGGCTGCAACTAGGCTACACAAAGTTTTGCTGTTTTTTGTGTGAATGGGACAGTCGGGCAAAGGCACTTCATTACACCAGAAAAAACTGGCCTGTTCGTCAATTCCTAGAGCCAGGTCAAAAAAATGCACAGCATATGCCATTAGTAGATTCGAAAAAAATTTTATTACCACCACTGCATATCAAGTTGGGCCTAATGAAAAACTTTGTCAAGGCATTAGATAGAGATGGGTCAGCTTTTCAATACCTGCATCAGAAATTTCCAACACCAAGTGAGGCAAAGGTTAAAGAACGTATTTTTGTTGGGCCACAGATTCGAAATATTTTGAAAGATCCACAGTTTGAAAACACTTTAACAGGTATTGAAAAAACTGCTTGGAATGATTTCCGTCTGGTGGTCACTAATTTCTTGGGAAATAGAAAAGCTGACAACTATAAAACCCTTGTCAAAAATATGCTGTCATCGTATCAAAAGATGGGCTGTAATATGTCTCTTAAGATACATTTCCTACACTCACACCTGGACTTTTTTCCTGACAATTGCGGAGCCGTCAGTGATGAGCACGGCGAACGTTTTCATCAGGATATTTTAACAATGGAAAAAAGGTACCAGGGAAAGTGGAAACCTTCCATGCTTGCAGACTACTGTTGGACTCTTGGTAGAGATGCTCCAGAAACGATCCATAAAAGAACAGCAAAAAGACAGCGCATATAGTGATTCTTATAAGTATATGAGTCTTGTTACTTTTTTTAATATATCGTTAAAAATAAAAAGTTTTTTTTCTAAACCGCAACTAATTTTTTTATTTCATTGTCATTTTTGGATTCAGCGCCCCAAAATTAACAAAGAAGTGCACTGTTCCCACAAGATACAATTAAAAAACTAAAATTTGTTGTCCAGTGAATATCTGAATACCTAAGACATTTTAAAAATTTTTTTTTTTAAGATAACTTTACTGTGACGTTATATGGACATCCTCACAAACATCTTTAAGACGTTTTCTTATCTCTTCTAGACGAGATGCGATTTTTAGAATTCAGCTTTTTAAAAAGTTAGAGATATTACTGAACATATGAGAAATCTAATTGCTGAATACCCAAATAAACATTTAAGTAAAGAATATTTTCTTGTTTACCAAACCACGATTGAAAAGAGATACAACTTATTTTTAACAATTTTTCAAGATTCATATATTTTTTAACGCAATTTCATTATTTTATACTAAGCAAAAAAACAAGTCGTTGAAGTTTTCCGATATCTGTATTTTTTAAACATTTTTCTAGAATCATTTAAACGTCAAGATTAATTGCGAACATTCTATTTTAACTCCAAATGACAATGCATCGTTCAAAGAGAGCACATCCTCATATTTACCTCTACAACATCTCTAGCTCTGTCATCTGTCAACAGTGTTGCCGGACCTACCAATTTTTCGATTTTTCTACCGAATTGAGAAATACCGAAAATATCTTCATTTTCCACGAATTTTAAAAATAATTCGGATGTTTTATAATTGTGCTATTAGTGGTCGCGCTTTCTAACCTTGGATAAATTTGTAGTGATACAATATAGAAAACCTCCAAAGATCTTTACCTTCATAGGTCGGGGATGATGTTGAGTAGGGCTCTGCTGGGTAGGGGCCGCCCAGGTGCCCCTAACCGAATGCATCCTGGATTCCTTCATAGGCAAAAGGGGCAATTTCGTCGGGGCGCCTGCAGGTTTTGTGGACGCCATTTTCGTAGGCTGTTCAGCATTCACCACAGGCACCTGGTGCTTGTCGTACACCACTTGCACCGGCAACACTGTCACGGTTCGGAAGTTGCTAGCGGCTGCTGCTGTGTTTGATGGGTCTATCATGTAGGGGAGGAGTTTCTTGACCATTTGCTCTTTGGTCATGATGCAACGATCATATACAGGGGGAAGCTGAAAAATATGGATTGATATTTATTTATTTATTTATTTATTTATATACAGTTTGGGGTGTTAACAGGTAAACCCAACACACACCTTCAGTGAACTAAAACTAAACTTACATAAAATATCGTATACATATATTACATTATTGAATACTTCAATATTAATATTTTTTTATCCTCCGATATTGTTGTAACAACATAAACTGAGTGAGTAGTTCTAATTATAAGCAATTAACTATTAATTTAACTTTTTTAATAAAAGGAGTATACATAATTTAACATTAAAATTAAATTGAAATTATACCAGAAATGATATTGGAGGTGATAACTTGAGTTATGTAAAAAATAAAACATTTCTATTTTAGTCTGCCATAGAGCAGTAATACTCATACTTTAAAGCCTTTTTCAGGGAGGTCAAGCTAATGTTAAATAAATCTATATCTTCAGAAATTATTATGATTTTTTTGAGCCCTGAACAAAGGGGAATTAAGACCAAGATTGGTTCTACGGAACGGTATTCTAAACAGATGATAAGTTCTAAACGTTCTATCAGGAGTGTTAAAGTTCAAGTTTGCCAAAAGATCCGGACAGTCAGTGACGCCATTCAACAATTTATGGACACAGCAAATGTCAGAAATCGTTCTTCTATCTTTTAAGGAAATCATATTGAACTGTTTCATAATTTGCGTATAATGATGATCTGTAACAGGTTGGTGAGTTTTATGTGCTAACATTTTCAAAAATTTGTGTTGAATTCTTTCTATCCTGACTATATGTACATTGTAAGACGGATTCCATATTACTGATGCAAACATCAGTTTGTTGTGTATATAAGCGTAGTACAATGAAAGAAGCGTTTTTGGGTTCGTAAATTCTCTGCATGTCCTGTTTATGAAGCCTAGTGTTCTATTTGCATCATTTACGATGTGCTCTACGTGAGTGATGAATGAGAGTTTCTCATCAATGTATACCCCTAGGTCTTTTACTACATGAAGCTTTTCCAGTTCTGCCGTCCCTATCTTATATCTGAAATCTATAGTGTTCGCTATGTTTCTAGTAAGCCTCATGTAATGACATTTTGTTAAATTCAGGAAGATACTGTTTTCAGTGCAATACTTTTGCAGAGATTCCAAATCGCTTTGAAGTTTTACACCGTCATTTACATTTCTAACAATAGTAAATATCTTTAGATCATCAGCATATAACAAATATTTACTGAAATGAAAAACAGAAGTAAGGTTGTTCATGTATATGTTAAATAACAATGGTCCTAAGTGACTACCTTGTGGTACGCCTGAAGTTACTAAGAATGTCTCCGAACGATACCCATTGATAGTCACCACTTGTTTACGATTACTTATATACGATGCTAGCCACTGCCATAATGGACCATCTACACCCACCTCAGCAAGTCTCTCCATCAAGATAGAATGATCAATCTTGTCGAAAGCCTTACTGAAGTTGGTATAAATAACATCCACCTGCAGTTTCTCATCTATTGCGTGAGAGGCATATTCTATAAAACTCATCAAATTCGTCTCTACAGATCTTTTAGGGAAAAATCCATGCTGGTGTTCCGTAATGATATTTTTTGTAATGTTTAAGATAGGATCATAAATCAGCTTTTCAAAAATTTTTGAGAAAATACAAAGTTTAGTGATAGGTCGATAATTTTCCACAAGATGTCTATCGCCTCCTTTATGAATAGGCAATATTTCACCTTCTTTCCATCTCGTTGGAGAAACTCTTTGAGTTAATGATAGTTTGAAAATTAGGTGAAGTGGTAAACATAAGCTAGCGGTACAGTTTTTTATAAATACAGAAGGTATGCCGTCAGGGCCTACTGATTTTTTAATTTCTAAGGACACTATTTGTTGATATATTTTTTCAATGGATATTAAGGTAACATCAATAGGACTAGCATCCTTGTTTAAATAAAAATGTTTAGACTTAACATATACACTTGCAAAGAAATCAGCAAAGGCATTACACACCCCACTTCCGGTTTTAACTTCATAGTTTGAATGATTTATAGAACTAGGTATAGAGACATGACATTTTTTCTTACTTGATACGTATTTCCAAAAGTATCGGATGTCGTTCAATATATTGTTTTCCATCATTGTTATGTATTCAACCAGGTTTTCCTTAATTAAGATTTTTGATTTGGCTCTAAGGTCACAGAATATCTGATATGAGTATGGATCATTAAAACGTTTGTATAGTCTATGATACTTATTTTTTCTCTTAACTGTTTGTATTGTTTCAAGTTTAAAGTATATTGGGTATTTTCCTCGAATTTTATATGTTGGTGTAAATTTGTGAATAGTTTCATATGTTATAGATATATATATATATATATATATATATAGATATTGAAATAAATAATAGTTTAAAAAAACTAAAAAATATGCTTTTATAGCTAACCGAACTAAAAAGTAGAAAATAATTTTTAATTACAAAGAGTTTATATTACAGTAGTAGATAGTCGAACAATCAATCATAATTAATGACCTCAAAATAAAATCATAATAAGATTTGAGTTATTAACAGAATAATTTAATGGTGAAGGTTTGCTATAGAAGAAAAAATGTATTATACAGGGTGTTCCATTTTAATCTAACTACTTAAATGTTTAGGAAACTACGCATGCTAGAAAAAACTTTTAAACAAAAGTAGTAGGGTTTCAATGGTAACCTTGATCATGACCCTCATCACGACCTTAAAGGTTATTTAAAGGTCAATCGAATATTTTTAAATGGAACCCCATCTGTTTCATACCGGAATGGAGGAGTCCGGATATGACCTTGACCATGACCTTGAAGTGCATTTCAGGTTCAAGTAAAGACACTGAAAACAATTTACTCTAGCAAAATTGTTCGAAAGTACAATTATGAAGTTTGTGGGGCCACCCAAAGGTGACCATAACCTTGACCACGACCTTCAAAGTCAAGTCAATATTTTTATCTCGGAATTATAAAAGCAAGAAGTGTTTAGTCCTAACGTGACCTTGATCTGAAAATGAAGGTCATGTCAATATTGAATGTTATTTGAAAGGAACCCCTTGACGTTGATGCCAAAACTGCAGCGAGAAGGAAATTTGTATTTAAATGTGTGAAATTTTCACATGACCTTGAAGGTGATGGTCAACGTCATTGGTCAAGATCATCTTTAGATCACCTCCATAAAACTCACAACTGTACGATCCAGTATTCTTGTTATGGAAAATTGTTTTCAATGGCTTGATATGACTTTGAAACTAGAATGCGTTCTAGTAGTTGAAACAATTTTATATTGTAGAATGTATAATATTCCAAAGGTCAACATTTTCCCTTTCCCGTCTTGGCAAAAATTTTGAAAATTGCTGAGGCGTCTGACATAACTTAAAAGCATGATAAGAAAAATCGTAGAACTTTAGAGTAAACAGTCTTAGATGCGACAAAGATTTTGGATCGTTGGAAATGTAACTACATGAAATGCTGCCTGAATCTTACGAATATTTTAGACTGTCGAAATTCTTCGTTTACTTTTCGGGTTGATTATACAGGGTGTCCGCAAAGTTGGGGTTTTCCTTTACACGACGTGTAGATCTTGAACACATAGGCAATTTTTCTTAGTACCATATACACCAATGTCTTAAGGGACCCGAGATAAAGGGCTCTGCAACATCAAAAATATCTGAATACCGTCCTGTAGCCGCGACATCCCCAAGTGGTACTAGGACACTAGCTCAACCCGACGACAGAACTGGGTCGAGGTCAGTGTGTCAGGTTAGTATGCAACCTTCAACCGACGGTTACGGTCACGCGTGTAGAGGTAAGCGAACTCGTATAATCGATTGCGTTTCAAAAAACAACAAGCACTAGAGACGTGGCTAGAGAAGTGCAAGTATCAAAAACTAAAGTGTGGCAAACGCTGCGTGAAGAGGGGCTGTATCCATTTCACGTCCAACGTGTACAAGCCCTTCAAACTGACGATTTTCCAGCAAGAGTGCGGTTTTGTGAGTGGTTGTTGCATCAACATGACAATAATCCGGACTTTTTGAAGTGCATATTGGTGACAGATGAATCTACGTTCACGCGTAATGGGGTGAATAACTTTCGCAACACTCATGTTTGGTCAGTAGAAAATCCGCACGCTGTCCGTCGGGCACATTTTCAACAAACATTTTCGGTGAATGTTTGGGCTGGCATGGTGAACGGTATGCTCATTGGACCATTTATTCTCCCAAATCGATTGGACGGGATGCAATACCTAGACTTTTTTACGCAACATGTTGCCTTCCTTGTTTGCCTGTGTCTGCTCGGTAGCGCATCAGCTGATTTCATTTTCTGTTGGAGCGGTATGATTTCGGCCAGAGACGTACTTAGCCCTTCTTGTCAACTGGAGAGTTTCTTTCCTTTTCCTTTATGTTCCTTTATTTTTTTTTACTTGTTCGCCCTCGTTTCACTACACATTACCTTTGTTATTTCAAGGGTAGTTGTTTCTGAAAAGGAAAACCCCAACTTTGCGGACACCCTGTATTGATATCCAAAATTAATTACAAAGTGTATCATGTAAGGCCAATTATTAGCTGTTGCCATGGTTCACGAGATTTGATTACGAGACTTATTTTTTCAAAAAAACGGCCTGTAGAACCAATATATTTCTTAGATGTTGACTTTTGCCATTGTGTCTACGTAGAAAATAAATAATTACAAAACTACAGTAAACAATGCGAAAACCGATAAATCCAAATATTTCAAGACTACACAGTTATCAGTAATTTATTAATATAATATTAAATTTATGTCAATTTTGAGTTGTTTTAGAATTGGATTTATCAGTATTTTGCACCATTTACTCATATAAAGCATTTCCAACTTTTAAGCTCTAATATTTGGACTTATCGTGTTTTGTGTGATAAAGTGATAGGCGTTACAATTCTCATACCTCTAATGGTCATAAACTACATCACGATCTTGATATGTGCACAGTCTTGAATGGAAACACAAACATTGTTTAATC